TAGGGAGGAGGAGGGGGTGAAGGGAGGGCAGGGACAAGGGGAAAAATGAGAATTAAGACCTCTTATGTAAAGGTACAGAATCCCAATGATGAATGCAATTGTATTGTATACCTAGATTGTACCAATAAACTCAATAAAAAGAAAAAAAAATAAAAAAAGAAATCAAACATTCTATTGTATAGCACTGCTCTAGAGGCCTATAAATATTATTTATTATTGTTATTGTAATTTCACTCAGGCAAATACTCCATTTCACCACCGAGGTCAGCACCTAGACAGAGTCTGACACAAAACAAGTCCTCATTTTTCTATAAATGTGAGCTTGAATGAATAAAAAATGGTTTTTATCTCTTGAATCTATTCTTTCTGATTTATATTTTACTGTTGTTTTTCAAATAAATAGGGTAATTTAGCTAAAGGCAAGTCTCTATGTCTGGAGAAATTACCACTCAAACAATATGCATCGCAATTTAAAATCTTCTGAACCAGCCACTTTTTTTTTTTTTTGACAGAGTCCTGCTACATTGCCCAGGCTGATCTCAAGTGGATCCTCCTGCCTCAGCCTCCTGGGTAGCTGGGATTACAGGCATGCACTACCACACAGGCTTCTTTTCCTTCTTTCTCCTTCACAGTGTTGGGGATCAAACTCAGGATGCATACAAGCACTCTACCACTGAGATACACCCCCTCGCCTGACCCAGATGCCTTACTCAGGTAACTAGAAAGTCACTGGCGCTCGCTTCTCCTAAAAGGTCTGTTTTCTTCTCCCATTACTTATCAAATGGTGCAAATCCCAATTCAGGATAATGTCTAGATCAGTACAATTGTTTCAAACAGCTCTCTGCGAATTTTAATTCATACCTAAACTTCACCTTGTTCCTCCTGACCCATTGTTGCAGCCCAGATAATTTTGGATCTTGACTTGCCTCACTGAGCATCATGCCATCCCTTTCAGCCCCCCTCTTTTGTTTGTCTGCAAATCTCACTCTATTGTTCATTCAGGTCACCAGATACCAAAAGAAGACACAGCTAAAAATGGAACAATCAACTAAATGATAAGCTCTGTAAGGACAGAGGGACCAAACTTACCTAGCTGAGCTACAGGACTGAGCTATATTCATGTTAAAGTTATGTACCAGAAAAGTTCAAAAAGCCATGAAAGAATTTCTTGTTTTAGTGAAGGTAACACAGTGTTATAACTCATGAACCCTGACATTCCACACAATGGAGGCTTCTTTCTCCCGCCCAGAGCAGTTCATTGCTAAAGTTCTTCCTCCCTCAGGTGACTCAGGCTCTGGCAATTCCTCCATCACTGGGCTCTGCCATCTCCTAAGACCTGGTTATCCTTTGCTGCCACTCAGTAAAGAGTCTGCTTGGAGAAGGCACCCACATTTCTTTAGCCCTGCCTGAAAGAAGGATGCAATTACTTCCACTCAGGTCTCATCCATATGAACTTTTTGCATGGGCACCTGTGGACGAGGGGAGCTGGAATCGCAGTTCTGGGGTGGGAGCCCCTCTCAATGTTCCTCCAAAAGAGGAGCCTGTAGTCTAGTGAATGGTCTCTACTTCTGCTGCAACTTAGAAATTATCCCCAGAAGGACACAGGCAAAATGTTGAAGTGTATTTCTTTTTCTTTCTTTTTTTCAGTGTATTTCTGTACTTCAAGCTGAGCTGTGGATCAGAGGTAGCCTGTGTGATTGGCATGCATTGAGGTCCTGGGTTCAATTCCCAGAATCAAATTTACTAATAAGTAAATGAACAGCACTAAAAATGCATCGCATAAAATAATATGAATAATAGGGGCACAGAAGATGTGTAATTACTTATTGTACCGGAGGCAGTGATCAGAAAAATCCCTTAAGGATGGATGGAGCTGGGCACAGGGGGCAGAAGGGAGGAGTGCCAGACAATGGAAACCCATCACACCCCTCATTAAGGGGCAGGCGCAGACAGGGGCAAGGCGACCCAGCGTGGGGCAGACCACGGTCAGGCCTCATCTCTCTTCACCTGAAGTGTCACCTCTTTTCTCTCTCTCATGTTACCAATAAAGACTACATGCTTAATGATATTTGTTCTTTCTCAGCCAAAGTTTCTAGGTGACTCACCAGCTAAATACTTTGGAAAGATGGCTCAAAGCCTATGTTTTCATACAAAAATGTTCAAGATTGTGTAAAATATTAAAGAGTGAACATGAACAAAAATCCCTCAATTTCCTTATATTACCCAGTTCTTTGATTTCTGGTGGATTTATGTAGATTCAGAGTTTGTTAAGATCACCTGAATATTCTTACCTGAATATTCTGTTCTAAAATACTTATTTTAATAGTTTATCTATATTGTGGCAAGTAATCCTTTTCATGGCTAGTCCTCCTCTGATGTGAAATGTGTACAATCAATAAAAATATAGCCTAAATAGTTTCCCCCATGTCTTCAGTCATGAATCTGCTATATAGCTCTGAATATGGCTAAACTAAATTTCTGTCCTTTATGTTAATTCGAATATAATAAATAAAAATGTCTACAAGTACCTCGATAGGGGCATTTGTTTGATGAAAAGAGGAGTCATTTTTATCATACATGCTGATTCCTTTATGTACTTACATGGGCCAGGAGAGGAGAGCAACATCACGGAATACGTACCTTATTGTATGTTGTCTTATAAAACTACAGGTTCTGCCATTTTTACAAGCTCTAGCTCCTCCCTGCACACGAGGAGACCTTTATCTATGACTAAATTCCGCCATACCCAGAAGAAAAGAGTGATATACCTAACCACATTACAAAGAAAAAAACTCTTACATGGCAAAAAGATAAAAGACAATGTAACATTTGGGGAAATATTTCTGACTTGCATCACAAAAGCTCACCAGTTATATACAGAATTCTTAGTAATAAACCAAACCCCAAAACTAACATCCCAATAAAAAATGAACAAGGATATTAAAGACAGAAGAAACACCATAAGTTTTAAATATATGAATGGCTGGGTGCAGCTGTGGTAAAGCACTCACCTAACATGCCCTTGGTTTGATCCCCAGCACCACAAAAATAAAAATAAAAATTTGAAAAAATACCTGATATGATGGCCCATGGCTATACTACTAACACTCAGGAGGCTGAAGAAAGAGGATTCACCATGAGTTCAATGCCAGACTGGGATACAGTGAGTTCAAGGCCAGCCTGAACTACATAGCAAGAACTTTTCTAATAAATAAATATTGAAAAATGTCCAACCTTATTTGTAAGATAAAATTAAATGAAAACTGCATTGAAAATATTTTTCACTAAAAGTTTAGCAAAAACAATCCTTTGCTCCATATCTTAGGTGGAGGGTATGAGTTGAAAAAGTAAGATAATGTCAGACAAACTTCAGAGAGTAATTTGACAGTATCTCTCAAAACTGAAAATTCATGTCCTTTGACTCACCAAATTCCACTTCTAGGAATTTACCATAAGGATATAACTTACATGAAAAACAACACGTACAATTGTTTATTCACTGCATTATTGTTGTCATAGCAAAAACACTGGCAACAACCTAAACGACCCATAGATATGACAACTGGATAATTAATTTATGGTTCACTCATACAAGGGGATACTATCTTATTTTGAAAAAAAAATTTTTAATGAGGAAGTTCCCTGTGAGTTGGCATGAAAGATCTTCCAGTCATGTATTAAGAGGAAAAAGCAGCCAGGGATTTAGCTCAGTGGTTCTGCCATCTGCCTCACAAGTGCCAGGACCCGTGTCCAATCCCTAGTTCCAAAAAGCAGAACAAAACAAAACAAAAAGTGAGGAAAAAAGATAGAGAACAGTGTGTAGAGTGTGCTATATTTTGGGTTAAAAAAAGGAAAGGTTATTCCTAGATGCTTCTTGGCACATAAAAACTCTGGGCTCAGCCTATTAACAATGAAAGAGAGCAGAGGGGATGATGGCCAACAGTTGCCTTGAGAGGGAGACTTGTGTGAAAATGTTTTAAATATTTTCTGTGTTTGAAGCTTGTGATTACATTGCCTATTCAGAAAAGTTAAACTTCTGAACTTTTAATTCGGCTTTGATAGGATGATGGTATTAAGAAAGTGACTTTTCACAAGATGGCACAGTTGCTTGGTACAGTCTTGCAGGAGCCCCGTCACTTCTGTGCCTCAGCCTTGCCTCCCCGGGCAACCACGCTGGAGGAGCTGGGTGTGGGGTCTAGTGCTGTGCTGGCCACGCCTCCAGCCTGAGAAGCGTCCCTGTTTCGCCAGCCCTGGCTTCCTCCGGGCCCTGAGAACATCTGGTGGATTGATCAAGCTACTCAGACTTTACCTCCTTTTATCACAGTCTCTTATTATTTCCACTTCTTCCTTTCAAACAAATCAAAATATTAGAACAAGGCAGAAAGGCACCTACTTGCCAGGTAAATTGGATCTCCTAAGAGTATCTTCAGGTTTTAAAAAAAAGGCAGTTTCCATCTTATCGATGAGAAGGTGTTTGCTTTCTACTCAATTACCCCTTGTGTTAGATGGTATTTTCTGGTTCAGATGGCTGTCTGTGTAAAATACCAACATTTAAAAATCTATTTCCTCCATTCCCAGTTCAATGTCGACAACTCTATTGTTAAGAGTCTGCAAGTTGGTGCCTTTCCAGCCAAAGGATAATTCAGCTGAGAGGTTTGATTTTACGATACAAACGTGATCTCACTTCTCCATGCGAGCAGCTTCCTAAGGAAAGAAAATCACTTAGGAGAAATCAGAGCGACTGTGTCCAGCGCGTGCTGTGCTGACTGCGGGGTGGGTGGCAGGGAGCAGGCGTCTGAAACACTCCCGCCGAGGCCAGAACCCCCGCCCAGCACCCCCTCCCGGAGGTAGAAACCCGCCCTCTGCCAGCCTCTGGCGATGGGAGTGGTGCCCCCTGCAGGACACTCGGAGAATCGCTCCGGACACAGAACTCCAGCCTCGTGTTTTCTGGGAGCCTGGCTGTAAAAGCACGGATGGCCGCGTCTCGATTCACCCTATGTTTCCTGCAAGGGGTGGGGTGGGGGGTTTGGGCCGCAAACAGTGACGCCCCAGGGGGCCCAAAAAGGTGGCCAGGGTTGGTTTGGCCCGGGAAGTCCTGTCTCCTGAACCGAACACACTGAGGGAGGGTAGTTTAAAGCTGGTTCCCCTGGTTTTAGCATCTCTTCCCTGCTGCCCCACAGCTTTTTCTTCCCCAAGCCCAAGATCCCCCTTTTCTATGCATTCCCAACTAGAGACTCCAGGACACATCTTGGACCAGTGAGGCTAACCTTCCCAGGCCTCATTTGCCACTTTTGTATAAGACTAAACCTACAATTCCTTTAGAAAACTACTTAGTGTTTTATAAAATTAAATATACGCTTACTCCGTGCCTAGCAACTTAACTCTTGAATATCTAAGAGAAGTTAAAAATCCACCTCCATTGAAGCACTTGCCTTGTATTCATAGCAAGTTTACACAAAATAACCAAAGACAAGAAATAATCAAATCCATGAACAATAACATGGTACAATAACATGAACAATAACATGTGGTAACTGATACCATGGAGTCAGATGTTCTATTCAGCGATGATGGTAAAAACTGCGGAGACACACTACAGCACACACCGATCTCAAAAACACATTTGTCAAAACTCAGAACTGTACTCTAAAACCCGTACACTTTCATGTATATACATGAACCTCCATTTAAAATATTGGGGGGGGGCAGGGATTTATCTTAGTGGTTCCGCCGCCTGCTTTGCAAGTGAAAAGTCCCGAGTTTGATCCCTGGTAGCACAGAAGTATATATATATATTTTTTTTAACTTAAAATATCTTTGAAAATAAGTTAGCACATAAAGTATTTAGAAGTGGTGCTGGGCACCTAGATACAAGTTAGTCCAAACTCTGAGACACTGTGGAAAGACATATTTGAAAGTTATATATGTCAGAATTTTCCATTCAGGGCATTTGCAATGGGTTAGAATCTCTTTACCACTGTCCCAGCCTCATAAGGGGTGTGAAGATCAAGCATTACCTCAGTCACATTTGTATTTAACACAACATAACACCAGTGTGGATGGCTGCCCCTCAGATTAACTTTCGGACACAATCTCTATATCGGAGAAACACTGCTTCAAATCCAGATGGCAAAGAAGCAGAGAATGCAAGAGATGCGCATTCTCCTGACCTGGAGACCACATAGGCAGCAGTTCCCGGGATGAACTCTCAGCTGCACCGGAAGATAGCACACCAGACGCTTCTTTCTGTGAGGCGCCTTGGGGAGGGGAAAGAGTTTGACCGCCTGGGTTTGGTACTGTTTCTGTCACATCACATGTGACCTAAATCTCTCTAAGCCTCGATTTCTCCATCTGTAAAATGAATGAGAGCAGTAAAGACATTCTGAGACCCTGGCGAAGTGAGCAGGCGGTCTGGGGCGGCAACCAGGCTCTTCTCTGCAGGGGAACGGGGAGAGAAAAGCCTGAGGAAGATCAAGAGGGAGCAACTAGGGCCCGGCAAGATCTATGAGAAACAGCCAGAAGGGCAGAAAGGAAGGCCGTGTCTAGGGGAATGAAAGGCTGGACCCCGTGCGGATGTGTCAGATCCCGCCTTAGGACTTTTCTATAAAACTCCCGTGAGTACTACAGCTCTGGGGTAAGGGGCTCTCCAAGGAGAAGTGGGAGGATTGTTCAGTCCTGCTCTCAGAGCGGGTAAGGAAGGCAGGTTGCGAACACCCACATCTGGTTAACTCCGTGCCTTAGAAAGTCCGTTCTGGGCGCACGGTTCGTGCCTAGTAAGTGACAGACATCTTAGGTCGTCACGTGTGTGTACAGCCGGGCAAAGGAAACAGCCTCGCTCCAGCCGTGGGCTCACGTTAGTGGCCCCAGCCCAAGCGCTTCTCCACTAACAAAGGAGTCTTGGTCTGGCTGGGCGGTGTGCAGTGTGGACGTGGCTCCAGTGGGTTCCAGTTCCGCCTCCCCGTGGACCA